TGTATGTATGTGTATGTATGTATATGTGTGTATGTCTATGTGTGTGTGTATGTGTGTGTATGTATGTTTATGTATGTATGTATATGTATGTATGTGTGTGTGTTCACAGGTGGTACTGTCCACTCTAAGCGTGTGTCTCTGTGTGTGTGTGTGTGTGTATATCTGTGTGTGTGTATGTCTGTATGTGTGTATGTATGTATATGTATGTGTGTATGTATCTATGTGTGTGTGTGTGTGTTCACAGGTGGTACTGTCCACTCTAAGCGTGCGTCTCTGTGTGTGTATCTGTGTGTGTATGTCTGTGTGTGTGTGTGTATATATGTGTGTGTATGTGTGTGTGTGTTCACAGGTGGTACTGTCCACTCTAAGCGTGCGTCTCTCCTACAACGACCTGAGGCTCTTTGCCGGCATCGTCGCCTCCCTCCGAGCTGAGGCCGACTCATCCTGCAGTGGACAAGGTGCAGCAGGGAGCGACGCTAGCACAGGTCACACACACACATCCCTGGCTGTGTCTGTGTGTCGTCGTGTGTCTGTGGGCGTCTGTGTGTATGTGTGTGTGTGTCTCTGTGTCTGTGGGCGTCTGTGTGTATGTGTTAGTGTGTATGTGTCAGTGTGTATGTGTCAGTGTGTCTCTGTGTCTGTAGGCGTCTGTGTGTATGTGTTAGTGTGTATGTGTCAGTGTGTATGTGTCAGTGTGTCTCTGTGTCTGTGTGTATCAGTGTGTATGTAGCTGTGTGTCAGTGTGTGTGTGTTAGTGTGTCTGTAGCTGTGTGTGTCAGTGTGTATCAGTGTGTATGTGTCTGTGGGCGTCTGTGTGTATGTGTCAGTGTGTATGTGTCTGTGTGTATCAGTGTGTATGTGTCAGTGTGTATGTGTCTGTGTATGTGTCAGTGTGTCTCTGTGTCTGTAGGCGTCTGTGTGTCAGTGTGTGTGTCTCTGTGTCTGTATCTGTGTGTCTGTGGCTGTGTGTGTCAGTGTATGTGTGTTAGTGTGTATGTGTCTGTGTGTGTATCTCTGTGTCTGTATCTGTGTGTGTCAGTGTGTATGTGTTAGTTAGTGTGTATGTGTCTGTGTATCTCTGTGTCTGTATCTGTGTGTGTGTGTCTGTGTGTATGTGTCAGTGTGTCTCTGTGTCTGCAGGCGTCTGTGTGTCAGTGTGTGTGTCTCTGTGTCTGTATCTGTGTGTCTGTAGCTGTGTGTGTCAGTGTGTATGTGTCAGTGTGTATGTGTCTGTGTGTCTGTATCTGTGTGTCAGTGTGTATGTGTCAGTGTGTCTCTGTGTCTGTAGGCGTCTGTTTGTCAGTGTGTGTGTCTCTGTGTCTGTATCTGTGTGTCTGTAGCTGTGTGTCAGTGTGTGTGTGTTAGTGTGTATGTGTCTGTATCTGTGTGTCAGTGTGTATGTGTCAGTGTGTATGTGTCTGTGTGTATCAGTGTGTTTGTGTCTGTGTGTATGTGTCTTTGTGTATCAGTGTGTATGTGTCAGTGTGTATGTGTCTGTGTATGTGTCAGTGTCTGTATCTATGTGTCTGTATCTGTGTGTGTCAGTGTGTATGTGTTAGTGTGTATGTGTCAGTGTGTGTATCTCTGTGTCTGTATCTGTGTGTGTGTGTCTGTGTGTATGTGTCTGTGTGTATCTCTGTGTCTGTATCTGTGTGTCTGTATCTGTGTGTGTCAGTGTGTATGTGTTAGTTAGTGTGTATGTGTCAGTGTGTGTATCTCTGTGTCTGTATCTGTGTGTGTGTGTGTCTGTGTGTATGTGTCTGTGTGTATCTCTGTGTCTGTATCTGTGTGTCTGTATCTGTGTGTGTCAGTGTGTATGTGTCAGTGTGTATGTGTCAGTGTGTATGTGTCAGTGTGTATGTGTCTGTGTGTATCAGTGTGTTTTTGTCTGTGTGTATGTGTGTGTATCTCTGTGTCTGTATCTGTGTGTATGTGTCTGTGTGTATCAGTGTGTATGTGTCAGTGTGTATGTGTCAGTGTGTATGTGTCTGTGTGTATCAGTGTGTTTGTGTCTGTGTGTATGTGTGTGTGTCTGTGTGTATGTGTCTGTGTGTATCAGTGTGTATGTGTCAGTGTGTATGTGTCAGTGTGTGTATCTCTGTGTCTGTATCTGTGTGTGTGTGTCTGTGTGTATGTGTCTGTGTGTATCAGTGTGTTTGTGTCTGTGTGTATGTGTGTGTGTCTCTGTGTCTGTATCTGTGTGTATGTGTCTGTGTGTATCAGTGTGTATGTGTCAGTGTGTATGTGTCAGTGTGTGTATCTCTGTGTCTGTATCTGTGTGTGTGTGTCTGTGTGTATGTGTCTGTGTGTATCAGTGTGTTTTTGTCTGTGTGTGTCAGTGTGTATGTGTCTGTGTATGTGTCTGTGTGTATGTGTCTGTGTGTGTCAGTGTGTATGTGTCTGTATGTGTCAGTGTGTATGTGTCTGTGTATGTGTCTGTGTGTATGTCTGTGTGAATGTGTCAGTGTGTGTCAGTGTGTGTGTGTGGGGAGCGATAGTGTAGCGGTTAGCGCGCTGCGCTATGAACCTGGCGACCCGGGTTCGATTCCCGCTCACGGCCAACACCAGTGACGATTATCTGAACCGGTCCCGGGCCTCCCCTAGGTCGACTCAGCTTCAAATGAGTACCTGGTGCGGTGTGTAAACATCGCCACTGGGGAGACAAAGGCGGTCGGGCGTAGTGCTGGCCACCCACCCCCTCGAGTACCGTTTCGGCCTTCATAGGTGCTCGCTAACAGCACTTGCCCCTACAGTCTGTTAAGGCTATATGGGGGATCTTTGTCTTTGTCTGTGTCTGTGTGTGTGTGTCTGTGTCTGTCTGTGTGTGTGTGTCTGTGTCTGTGTGTGTGTGTCTGTCTGTGTGTCTGTGTGTGTGTCTGTGTGTGTCTGTGTGTGTGTCTGTGTGTGTGTCTGTCTGTGTGTTGGCCACCCATCCCCTCGTGTGCCATTTTTCCCTTCATCGGTGCTCGCTAACTGCACTTGCCCCTACAGCCCTGCTAGAGGCTACCTGGGAGACCTTTGTCTGTGTCTCAGCACTTGCCCCTGCAGCCCTGCTAGAGGCTACCTGGGGGAGCTTTGTCTGTGTCTCAGCACTTGTCCCTGCAGCCCTGCTAGAGGCTACCTGGGGGACGTTTGTCTGTGTCTCAGCACTTGCCCCTACAGCCCTGCTAGAGGCTACCTGGGGGACCTTTGTCTGTGTCTCAGCACTTGCCCCTGCAGCCCTGCTAGAGGCTACCTGGGGGAGCTTTGTCTGTGTCTTAGCACTTGCCCCTGCAGCCCTGCTAGAGGCTACCTGGGGGACCTTTGTCTGTGTCTCAGCACTTGCCCCTGCAGCCCTGCTAGAGGCTACCTGGGGGACCTTTGTCTGTGTCTCAGCACTTGCCCCTACAGCCCTGCTAGAGGCTACCTGGGGGAGCTTTGTCTGTGTCTCAGCACTTGCCCCTACAGCCCTGCTAGAGGCTGCCTGGGGGACCTTTGTCTGTGTCTCAACACTTGCCCCTGCAGCCCTGCTAGAGGCTACCTGGGGGACCTTTGTCTGTGTCTCAGCACTTGCCCCTGCAGCCTTGCTAGAGGCTACCTGGGGGACCTTTGTCTGTGTCTCAGCACTTGCCTCTGTAGCCCTGCCAGCGGCTACCTGGGGGACCTTTGTCTGTGTCTCAGCACTTGCCCCTACAGCCCTGCTAGAGGCTACCTGGGGGACCTTTGTCTGTGTCTCAGCACTTGCCTCTGTAGCCCTGCCAGCGGCTACCTGGGGGACCTTTGTCTGTGTCTCAGCACTTGCCCCTACAGCCCTGCTAGAGGCTACCTGGGGGACCTTTGTCTGTGTCTCAGCACTTGCCCCTACAGCCCTGCTAGAGGCTACCTGGGGGAGCTTTGTCTGTGTCTCAGCACTTGCCCCTGCAGCCCTGCTAGAGGCTACCTGGGGGACCTTTGTCTGTGTCTCAGCACTTGCCCCTACAGCCCTGCTAGAGGCTACCTGGGGGACTTTTGTCTGTGTCTCAGCACTTGCCCCTGTAGCCCTGCTAGAGGCTACCTGGGGGACCTTTGTCTGTGTCTCAGCACTTGCCTCTGTAGCCCTGCCAGCGGCTACCTGGGGGACCTTTGTCTGTGTCTCAGCACTTGCCCCTACAGCCCTGCTAGAGGCTACCTGGGGGACCTTTGTCTGTGTCTCAGCACTTGCCCCTACAGCCCAGCTAGAGGCTACCTGGGGGAGCTTTGTCTGTGTCTCAGCACTTGCCCCTACAGCCCTGCTAGAGGCTTCCTGGGGGACCTTTGTCTGTGTCTCAACACTTGCCCCTGCAGCCCTGCTAGAGGCTACCTGGGGGACCTTTGTCTGTGTCTCAGCACTTGCCCCTGCAGCCTTGCTAGAGGCTACCTGGGGGACCTTTGTCTGTGTCTCAGCACTTGCCTCTGTAGCCCTGCCAGCGGCTACCTGGGGGACCTTTGTCTGTGTCTCAGCACTTGCCCCTACAGCCCTGCTAGAGGCTACCTGGGGGACCTTTGTCTGTGTCTCAGCACTTGCCTCTGTAGCCCTGCCAGCGGCTACCTGGGGGACCTTTGTCTGTGTCTCAGCACTTGCCCCTACAGCCCTGCTAGAGGCTACCTGGGGGACCTTTGTCTGTGTCTCAGCACTTGCCCCTACAGCCCTGCTAGAGGCTACCTGGGGGAGCTTTGTCTGTGGTCTCAGCACTTGCCCCTGCAGCCCTGCTAGAGGCTACCTGGGGGACCTTTGTCTGTGTCTCAGCACTTGCCCCTACAGCCCTGCTAGAGGCTACCTGGGGGACTTTTGTCTGTGTCTCAGCACTTGCCCCTGTAGCCCTGCCAGCGGCTACCTGGGGGACCTTTGTCTGTGTCTCAGCACTTGCCCCTGCAGCCCTGCTAGAGGCTACCTGGGGGACCTTGTCTGTGTCTCAGCACTTGCCCCTACAGCCCTGCTAGAGGCTACCTGGGGGAGCTTTGTCTGTTTCTGTGCCTGTCGCGTGCTGCGCCTCGTGCAGGGGGCGTGGTGCCCGCTCTGCCCGTGGCCACGTGGGTCACGTGGGCCCCCTGGGTCACGTGGTCTGCCCGCGTGCGCGCCGGCAGCGTCTGCGTCTGCGTCATCGACGAGCTCGTCTGTGACGTCCGCTGATGGAAGTCACTCTCACTGGTGGGGGGAGGAGGGGCGCTGTGGTGGTGGGGGGGTGGTGGGTGGGGGGTAGCGCTTGCCACCACCCACCCACTAACACCACCACCCACTACCACCACCACCCACCATCACTCATCCACCCACCACCACCACCCACCCACCACCATCACCACCCACCCACCACCATCACCACCCACCCAACACCATCACCACCATCCACCACCATCACCACCCACCCACCACCATCACCACCACCACCATCCACCACCCACCATCACTTATCCACCACCATCACCACCCACCCACCACCATCACCACCCTCCCACCACCATCACCACCATCCACCACCATCACCACCCACCCACCACCATCACCACCCTCCCACCACCATCACCACCATCCACCACCATCACCACCCACCCACCACCATCACCACCACCACCATCCACCACCCACTACCACCACCCACTACCATCACTACCACCACCCACCCACCACCACCATCACTCATCCACCACCAGCATCACCCACCCACTACCATCACCACCACCACCATCCACCACCCACTACCACCACCCACTACCATCACTACCACCACCCACCCACCACCACCATCACTCATCCACCACCAGCATCACCCACCCACTACCATCACCACCACCATCCACCACCATCACCACCACCATCCACCCACTACCATCACCCACCCACTACCATCACAACCACCAGTCATCCACCACCATCACCACCCACCCATTACCACCACCACCCACTACCACCACCACTCACCCACTTCCACCACCACCCACCCACTACCATCACCACCCACCCACCACCATCATCCACCCACCACCACCACCCACTCCCATCACCACCACCATCCACCACCCACCACTACCACCACCATCCACCCACTACCACCACCATCACCACCACCACTCATCCACCACCAGCATCACCCACCCTCTACCGTCACCACCACCCCCCACCCACTACCACCACCCACCCACTACCACCACCACCCACAACCACCATCACCACCACCACCCACCCACTACCACCACCCACCACCACCACAATCACCACCACCACTCATCCACCACCAGCATCACCCACCCACTACCACCACCCACCCACTACCACCACCCACCCACTAACACCACCATCACTACCACCACCATCACCACCACCACTCATCCACCACCACCACGCACCACTACCCACCACTCACCCACTACCATCACCATCCACCCGCTACCATCACCACCACCATCCACCCACTACCACCACCACCCACTACCACCACCCACCCACTACCATCACCACCACCATCCACCCACTACCACCACCACCATCCACCCACTACCACCACCACCTACCACCACCCACCACCACCCACCCAATACCATCACCACCACCCACCACCACCATCACTCACCCACTACCACCATCACCACCACCACCCCCACTACCACCACCCACCCACCACCCACCCACCACTACCACCACCCACTACCACCACCCACCACTACCACCACCCACCCCCACCACCCACCACCACCACCACTACCACCACCCACCCACCACCACCACCCACTACCACCACCCACCCACCACTACCACCACCCACCATCCACCCACCACCACCACCACCCACCACTACCACCACCCACCCACCACCCACCCACCACTACCACCACCCACCACTACCACCACCACCCACCCACCACTACCACCACCACCACCATCCACCCACTTCCACCACCACCCACCCATTACCAGCACCACCACCACCCACTACCACCATCACCACCCACCACCCACCCACCATTACCACCACCCACTACCACCACCCACCACTACCACCACTACCACCCACCACCACCACCCACCACTACCACCACCCACTACCACCACCCACTACCACCACCCACCACTACCACCACCACCCACCACCACCCACCCACCACTACCACCACCCACCCACCACCACCACCCACTACCACCACCCACCAACACCACCCACCACCACCCACCACTACTACCACCCACCACTACCACCACTCACCCACCACTACCACCACCCACCCACCCACCACCACCCACCGTTACCACCACCCACCCACCACTACCACCACCCACTACCACCACCCACTACTACCACCACCCACCACCACCACCCACCCACCACTACCACCACCACCCACTACCACCCACCACCACCCACCACTACCACCAACCACCCACCCACCACTACCCACCCACCACCCAACCACCACCACCTACCACCACCCACCACCCAACCACCCACCACCCACCACTACCACCACCCACCCACCACCACCCACCACTACCACCACCCACCCACCACCACCACCCACCCACCACCACCCACCCACCACCACCCACCACCCTTTCACCACCCACTACCCACCCAGCTTGGCCCCGACGAGGATCTCCGTTCATCCTCGGTGGCACTTGTCCCCAGCGTGGTGCGAGTCTACCTGGGTAACCTGCGCCTTTGCCTTGCAGGGTTCCACTTGGAGCAAAGCTTCTCTGCCCATCAGGAGGGGAGTGCCCAGTTCACTCTGCTGGCCGACTACTACAACAGGCAGCTGTCTGGTGGGCAGGGGAATGGGTGGGTGGTTAAGTGGGTGGGTGGGTGAGTGGGTGGGTGAGTGGGTGAGTGAGTGAGTGGGTGAGTGAGTGGGTGAGTGAGTGAGTGGGCGGGCGGGCGGGTGGGTGGGTGGGTGGGTGAGTGAGTGGGTGGGTGGGTGAGTGAGTGGGTGGGTGGGTGAGTGAGTGAGTGGGTGGGTGGGTGAGTGAGTGGGTGAGCGAGCGGGTGAACGAGCGAGCGAGTGGGGTGAGCGAGTGGGTGAGGCGGGTGAGTGAGCGGGTGAACGAGCGGGTGGGTGAGCGAGCGGGCGGGCGGGCGAGCGAGCGAGTGAGTGGGCGAGCGGGCGGGTGAGCGAGCGAGTGGGTGAGTGGGTGAGTGGGTGAGTGAGCGAGTGAGCGAGTGGGTGAGTGAGTGGGTGAGTGAGTGGGTGAGTGAGTGAGTGGGTGAGTGAGTGAGTGGGTGAGTGAGTGAGTGAGTGGGTGAGTGAGTGAGTGAGTGGGTGAGTGAGTGAGTGAGTGGTGAGTGAGTAGTGTATGAGTGAGTGGGTGAGTGAGTGAGTGAGTGGGTGAGTAGTGTATGAGTGAGTGGGTGAGTAGTGTATGAGTGAGTGGGTGAGTAGTGTATGAGTGAGTGAGTGAGTGTGTGAGTGAGTGAGTGAGTGGGTGAGTGGGTGAGTGAGTGGGTGAGCGAGTGAGTGGGTGAGTAGGTGAGTGGGTGAGTGAGTGAGTAGTGTATGAGTGAGTGGGTGAGTGAGTGAGTGAGTGGGTGAGTGAGTAGTGTATGAGTGAGTGGGTGAGTGAGTGAGTGGGTGAGTGGGTGAGTGAGTAGTGTATGGGTGAGTGAGTGAGTGAGTGGTGAGTGAGGTGAGTGGTGAGTGAGTGAGTAGTGTATGAGTGGGTGAGTGAGTGGGTGAGTGAGTGAGTGGGTGAGTGAGTGAGTGAGTGGTGAGTGAGGTGAGTAGTGTATGAGTGAGTGGGTGAGTGAGTGAGTGAGTGGGTGAGTGAGTGGGTGAGTGAGTGGGTGAGTGGGGGAGTGAGTGAGTGGGTGAGTGAGTGGGTGAGTGAGTGGGTGAGTGAGTGGGTGAGTGAGTAGTGTATGAGTGAGTGGGTGAGTGAGTGAGTGGGTGAGTGAGTGGGTGAGTGGGTGAGTGAGTGGGTGAGTGGGTGAGTGAGTGAGTGAGTGGGTGAGTGGGTGAGTGAGTGAGTGGGTGAGTGAGTGGAGTGAGTGGGTGAGTGAGCGAGTGGGTGAGTGGGTGAGTGAGTGGGTGAGTGCGTGAGTGGGTGAGTGAGTGAGTGGGTGAGTGAGTGAGTGGGTGAGTGAGTGAGTGAGTGAGTGAGCGAGTGGGTGAGTGAGTGGGTGAGTGGGTGAGTGAGTGGGTGAGTGAGTGAGTGAGTGAGCGAGTGGGTGAGTGGGTGAGTGGGTGAGCGAGTGGGTGAGTGAGTGAGTGAGTGAGTGGGTGAGTGAGTAGTGTATGAGTGAGTGGTGAGTGAGTGGGTGAGTGAGTAGTGTATGAGTGAGTGGGTGAGTGGGTGAGTGAGTGAGTGAGTGGGTGAGTGAGTGAGTGAGTGGGGGAGTGAGTGAGTGGGTGAGTGAGTGAGTGAGTGGGGGAGTGAGTGAGTGGGTGAGTGAGTGGGTGAGTGAGTGGGTGAGTGGGTGAGTGAGTGGGTGAGTGAGTAGTGTATGAGTGAGTGGGTGAGTGAGTGAGTGGGTGAGTGTGTGAGTGGGTGAGTGTATGAGTGAGTGGGTGAGTGAGTGGGTGAGTGAGTGAGTGAGTGTGTGAGTGAGTGGGTGAGTGAGTGAGTGAGTGGGTGAGTGAGTAGTGTGTGAGTGAGTGAGTGGGTGAGTGAGTGGGTGTGTGAGTGAGTGAGTGAGTGGGTGAGTGAGTGAGTGGGTGAGTGAGTGAGTGAGTGGGTGAGTGAGTGAGTGAGTGGGTGAGTGAGTGGTGGGTGAGTGAGCGAGTGGGTGAGTGAGTGAGTGGGTGAGTGGGTGAGTGAGTGAGTGGGTGAGTGAGTGGGTGGGTGAGTGGGTGAGTGGTGAGTGAGTGAGTGGGTGAGTGAGTGAGTGGGTGAGTGAGTGGGTGAGTGAGTGGGTGAGTGAGTGAGTGGGTGAGTGAGTGAGTGAGTGGGTGAGTGAGTGGGTGAGTGAGTGAGTGAGTGGGTGAGTGGGTGAGTGAGTGAGTGAGTGGGTGAGTGAGTAGTGTATGAGTGGGTGGGTGAGTGGTGAGTGAGTGAGTGGGTGAGTGAGTGGGTGAGTGAGTGGGTGAGTGGGTGAGTGAGTGAGTGTATGAGTGAGTGAGTGAGTGTATGAGTGAGTAGTGTATGAGTGAGTAGTGTATGAGTGAGTGGGTGAGTGAGTGAGTGGGGTGAGTGAGTGAGTGGTGAGTGAGTGGTTGAGTGAGTAGTGTATGAGTGAGTGAGTGGGTGAGTGAGTGAGTGAGTGGTGAGTGAGTGGGTGAGTGAGTGGGTGAGTGAGTGAGTGAGTGGGTGAGTGAGTGAGTGAGTGGGTGAGTAGTGTATGGGTGAGTGGGTGAGTGTATGGGTGAGTGAGTAGTGTATGAGTGCGTGAGTGAGTGGGTGAGTGAGTAGTGTATGAGTGAGTGAGTGGGTGGGTGAGTGAGCGAGTGAGTGAGTGAGTGGGTGAGTGTATGAGTGAGTGAGTAGTGTGTGAGTGAGTGAGTGGGTGAGTGTATGAGTGAGTGAGTAGTGTATGAGTGAGTGAGTGTACGAATGAGTAGTGTATGAGTGAGTGAGTGAGTAGTGTATGGGTGAGTGGGTGAGTGGGTGAGTGGGTGAGTGAGTGAGTAGTGTATGAGTGAGTGGGTGAGTGGGTGAGTAGTGTATGAGTGAGTAGTGTATGAGTGAGTGGGTGAGTGGGTGAGTGAGTAGTGTATGAGTGAGTGAGTGAGTAGTGTATGAGTGAGTAGTGTATGAGTGAGTAGTGTATGAGTGGGTGAGTGAGTGAGTGAGTAGTGTATGAGTGAGTGTATGAGTGAGTGGGTGAGTGAGTGAGTGAGTAGTGTATGAGTGTATGGGTGAGTGAGTAGTGTATGAGTGGGTGAGTAGTGTATGAGTGAGTGAGTGAGTAGTGTATGAGTGAGTGGGTGAGTGGGTGAGTGAGCGAGTGGGTGAGTGGGTGAGTGAGTGGGTGAGTGGGTGAGTGAGTGGGTGAGTGAGTGAGTGAGTGAGCGAGTGGGTGAGTGGGTGAGTGGGTGAGCGAGTGGGTGAGTGAGTGAGTGGGTGAGTGAGTAGTGTATGAGTGAGTGGTGAGTGAGTGGGTGAGTGAGTAGTGTATGAGTGAGTGGGTGAGTGGGTGAGTGAGTGAGTGAGTGGGTGAGTGAGTGAGTGAGTGGGGGAGTGAGTGAGTGGGTGAGTGAGTGGGTGAGTGAGTGGGTGAGTGAGTGGGTGAGTGAGTAGTGTATGAGTGAGTGGGTGAGTGAGTGAGTGGGTGAGTGTGTGAGTGGGTGAGTGTATGAGTGAGTGGGTGAGTGAGTGGGTGAGTGAGTGAGTGAGTGTGTGAGTGAGTGGGTGAGTGAGTGAGTGAGTGGGTGAGTGAGTAGTGTATGAGTGAGTGAGTGAGTGGGTGAGTGAGTGGGTGTGTGAGTGAGTGAGTGAGTGGGTGAGTGAGTGAGTGGGTGAGTGAGTGAGTGAGTGGGTGAGTGAGTGAGTGAGTGGGTGAGTGAGTGGGTGGGTGAGTGAGCGAGTGGGTGAGTGAGTGAGTGGGTGAGTGGGTGAGTGAGTGAGTGGGTGAGTGAGTGGGTGGGTGAGTGGGTGAGTGGTGAGTGAGTGAGTGAGTAGTGTATGAGTGAGTGGGTGAGTGAGTGAGTGGGTAAGTGAGTGAGTGGTGAGTGAGTGGTGAGTGAGTAGTGTATGAGTGAGTGAGTGGGTGAGTGAGTGAGTGAGTGGTGAGTGAGTGGGTGAGTGAGTGGGTGAGTGAGTGAGTGAGTGGGTGAGTGAGTGAGTGAGTGGGGGAGTGAGTGAGTGGGTGAGTGAGTGGGTGAGTGAGTGGGTGAGTGAGTGGGTGAGTGAGTAGTGTATGAGTGAGTGGGTGAGTGAGTGAGTGGGTGAGTGTGTGAGTGGGTGAGTGTATGAGTGAGTGGGTGAGTGAGTGGGTGAGTGAGTGAGTGAGTGTGTGAGTGAGTGGGTGAGTGAGTGAGTGAGTGGGTGAGTGAGTAGTGTATGAGTGAGTGAGTGAGTGAGTGGGTGAGTGAGTGGGTGTGTGAGTGAGTGAGTGAGTGGGTGAGTGAGTGAGTGGGTGAGTGAGTGAGTGAGTGGGTGAGTGAGTGAGTGAGTGGGTGAGTGAGTGGGTGGGTGAGTGAGCGAGTGGGTGAGTGAGTGAGTGGGTGAGTGGGTGAGTGAGTGGGTGGGTGAGTGGGTGAGTGGTGAGTGAGTGAGTGAGTAGTGTATGAGTGAGTGGGTGAGTGAGTGAGTGGGTGAGTGAGTGAGTGGTGAGTGAGTGGTGAGTGAGTAGTGTATGAGTGAGTGAGTGGGTGAGTGAGTGAGTGAGTGGTGAGTGAGTGGGTGAGTGAGTGGGTGAGTGAGTGAGTGAGTGGGTGAGTGAGTGAGTGGGTGAGTAGTGTATGGGTGAGTGGGTGAGTGTATGGGTGAGTGAGTAGTGTATGAGTGAGTGAGTGAGTGGGTGAGTGAGTAGTGTATGAGTGAGTGAGTGGGTGGGTGAGTGAGCGAGTGAGTGAGTGAGTGGGTGAGTGTATGAGTGAGTGAGTAGTGTGTGAGTGAGTGAGTGGGTGAGTGTATGAGTGAGTGAGTAGTGTATGAGTGAGTGAGTGTATGAATGAGTAGTGTATGAGTGAGTGAGTAGTGTATGGGTGAGTGGGTGAGTGGGTGAGTGGGTGAGTGAGTGAGTAGTGTATGAGTGAGTGGGTGAGTGGGTGAGTAGTGTATGAGTGAGTAGTGTATGAGTGAGTGGGTGAGTGGGTGAGTGAGTAGTGTATGAGTGAGTGAGTAGTGTATGAGTGAGTAGTGTATGAGTGAGTAGTGTATGAGTGGGTGAGTGAGTGAGTGAGTAGTGTATGAGTGAGTGTATGAGTGAGTGTATGAGTGAGTGGGTGAGTGAGTGAGTAGTGTATGAGTGAGTAGTGTATGAGTGTATGGGTGAGTGAGTAGTGTATGAGTGGGTGAGTAGTGTATGAGTGAGTGAGTGAGTAGTGTATGAGTGAGTGGGTGAGTGGGTGAGTGAGTGAGTGAGTAGTGTATGAGTGAGTGTATGAGTGAGTGAGTAGTGTATGGGTGAGTGGGTGAGTGAGTGGGTGAGTAGTGTATGAGTGAGTGGGTGAGTGAGTGGTGAGTGAGTAAGTGAGTGAGTGAGTAGTGTGTGAGTGAGTAGTGTATGAGTGAGTGAGTGAGTGGGTGAGTGAGTAGTGTATGAGTGGGTGAGCGAGTGGGTGAGTGGTGAGTGAGTGAGTAGTGTATGAGTGGGTGAGTGAGTGGGTGAGTGGTGAGTGAGTAGTGTATGAGTGGGTGAGTGAGTGGGTGAGTGAGTGAGTGAGTGGGTGAGTGGGTGAGTGAGTGAGTGAGTGGGTGAGTGAGTAGTGTATGAGTGGGTGGGTGAGTGGGTGAGTGGTGAGTGAGTGAGTGAGTGGGTGAGTGAGTGGGTGAGTGAGTGAGTGAGTGGGTGAGTGGGTGAGTGAGTGAGTGTATGAGTGAGTGAGTGAGTGTATGAGTGAGTAGTGTATGAGTGAGTGGGTGAGTGAGTGAGTGGGTGAGTGAGTGAGTGGTGAGTGAGTGTGAGTGAGTAGTGTATGAGTGAGTGAGTGGGTGAGTGAGTGAGTGAGTGGTGAGTGAGTGGGTGAGTGAGTGGGTGAGTGAGTGAGTGAGTGGGTGAGTGAGTGAGTGAGTGGGTGAGTAGTGTATGGGTGAGTGGGTGAGTGTATGGGTGAGTGAGTAGTGTATGAGTGAGTGAGTGAGTGGGTGAGTGAGTAGTGTGTGTATGAGTGAGTGAGTGGTGTGTGTATGAGTGAGTGAGTAGTGTGTGTATGAGTGAGTGAGTAGTGTGTGTATGAGTGAGTGAGTAGTGTGTGTATGAGTGAGTGAGTAGTGTGTGTATGAGTGAGTGAGTAGTGTATGAGTGAGTGAGTGTATGAATGAGTAGTGTATGAGTGAGTGAGTGAGTAGTGTATGGGTGAGTGGGTGAGTGGGTGAGTGGGTGAGTGAGTGAGTAGTGTATGAGTGAGTGGGTGAGTGGGTGAGTGGGTGAGTAGTGTATGAGTGAGTAGTGTATGAGTGAGTGGGTGAGTGGGTGAGTGAGTAGTGTATGAGTGAGTGAGTGAGTAGTGTATGAGTGAGTAGTGTATGAGTGAGTAGTGTATGAGTGGGTGAGTGAGTGAGTGAGTAGTGTATGAGTGAGTGTATGAGTGAGTGGGTGAGTGAGTGAGTGAGTAGTGTATGAGTGAGTAGTTTATGAGTGTATGGGTGAGTGAGTAGTGTATGAGTGGGTGAGTAGTGTATGAGTGAGTGAGTGAGTAGTGTGTGAGTGAGTGGGTGAGTGGGTGAGTGAGTGGGTGAGTGAGTGAGTAGTGTATGAGTGAGTGTATGAGTGAGTGAGTAGTGTATGGGTGAGTGGGTGAGTGAGTGAGTGAGTAGTGTATGAGTGAGTGGGTGAGTGAGTGGTGAGTGAGTAAGTGAGTGAGTGAGTAGTGTGTGAGTGAGTAGTGTATGAGTGAGTGAGTGAGTGGGTGAGTGAGTAGTGTATGAGTGGGTGAGTGAGTGGGTGAGTGGTGAGTGAGTGAGTAGTGTATGAGTGGGTGAGTGAGTGGGTGAGTGGTGAGTGAGTGAGTAGTGTATGAGTGGGTGAGTGAGTGGGTGAGTGGTGAGTGAGTGAGTAGTGTATGAGTGAGTGAGTGAGTGTATGAGTGTATGGGTGAGTAGTGTATGAGTGAGTGAGTGGGTGAGTGAGTGAGTAGTGTATGAGTGGGTGAGTGAGTAGTGTATGAGTGAGTGAGTAGTGTATGAGTGAGTGTATGAGTGAGTGAGTGAGTGTATGAGTGAGTGAGTGAGTAGTGTATGAGTGAGTAGTGTATGAGTGGGTGAGTGAGTAGTGTATGAGTGAGTGAGTAGTGTATGAGTGAGTGTATGAGTGAGTGAGTGAGTGTATGAGTGAGTGAGTGGGTGAGTGAGTGAGTGGGTGAGTGAGTGAGTGGGTGAGTGAGTGGGTGAGTGAGTGAGTGGGTGAGTGAGTGAGTGAGTGGGTGAGTGAGTGGGTGAGTGAGTGAGTGAGTGGGTGAGTGGTGAGTGAGTAGTGTATGAGTGGGTGAGTGGGTGAGTGAGTGAGTGGGTGAGTGAGTGAGTGATTGAGTGGGTGAGTGAGTGAGTAGTGTATGGGTGAGTGGTGAGTGAGTGGTGAGTGAGTGTATGAGTGGGTGAGTGAGTGAGTGGGTGAGTGAGTGAGTGAGCTACACTGCGGTGACCTTTGCCCCCGTACCAGGCTGGGAGCCCTTTGTGGAGCGCTGGCCGGCGCAAGTTCATTGGTTCACGGAGCCGGCCAATCAGATGCACCCGTCACGGCAGATCGTCAAGGTGACGGCGAAGGAGAGGCTCTACGTGAACATCACCTCCAGCCTCATCGGTGAGACGCTCACCAGGGCCGCCCGGTTCACCAGGGCCGCCCGGTTCACCAGGGCCGCCGGGTTCACCAGGGCTGTGTTCACCAGGGCCGCCGGGTTCACCAGGGCTGTGTTCACCAGGGCCGCCCGGTTCACCAGGGCCGCCCGGTTCACCAGGGCTGTGTTCACCAGGGCCGTGTTGTGTAGCTGTGTTCACCAGGGCCGCTGTGTTCGCCAGGGCCGTGTTCACCAGGGCTGTGTTCACCAGGGCCGCCGGGTTCACCAGGGCTGTGTTCACCAGGGCTGTGTTGTGTAGCTGTGTTCACCAGGGCCGCTGTGTTCGCCAGGGCCGTGTTCACCAGGGCTGTGTTCACCAGGGCCGCTGTGTTCGCCAGGGCCGTGTTCACCAGGGCTGTGTTCACCAGGGCCGCCGGGTTCACCAGGGCCGCCGGGTTCACCAGGGCTGTGTTCACCAGGGCTGTGTTGTGTAGCTGTGTTCACCAGGGCCGGGTTTCACCAGGGCTGTGTTCACCAGGGCCGGGTTCACCCGGGCTGTGTTCACCAGGGCCGCCGGGTTCACCAGGGCTGTGTTCACCAGGGCTGTGTTCACCAGGGCCGCTGTGTTGTGTAGCTGTGTTCACCAGGGCCGTGTTCACCACGGCTGTGTTGTGTAGCTGTGTTCACCAGCGCTGTGTTCACCAGGGCCACTGTGTTCACCAGGGATGTGTTGTGTAGCTGTGTTGTGTAGCTGTGTTCACCAGGGCTGTGTTCACTAGGGCTGTGTTCACCAGGGCCGTGTTCACCAGGGCTGTGTTCACCAGGGCTGTGTTCACCAGGGCTGTGTTCACCAGGGCCGCCGGGTTCACCAGGGCTGCCGGGTTCACCAGGGCCGTGTTCATCAGGGCTGTGTTCACCAGGGCCGTGTTCATCAGGGCTGTGTTCACCAGGGCCGGGTTCACCAGGGCTGTGTTCACCAGGGCCGGGTTCACCAGGGCTGTGTTCACCAGGGCCGGGTTCACCAGGGCCGCCGGGTTCACCAGGGCTGTGTTCACCAGGGCTGTGTTCACCAGGGCCGGGTTCACCAGGGCTGCCGGGTTCACCAGGGCTGCCGGGTTCACCAGGGCTGTGTTCACCAGGACCGCTGTGTTGTGTAGCTGTGTTCACCAGGGCCGCTGTGTTCACCAGCGCTGTGTTCACCAGGGCTGTGTTCACCAGGGCTGTTGTGTAGCTGTGTTCACCAGGGCCGCTGTGTTCACCAGGGCTGTGTTGTGTAGCTGTGTTCACCAGGGCTGTGTTGTGTAGCTGTGTTCACCAGGGCTGTGTTGTGTAGCTGTGTTCACCAGGACCACTGTGTTCACCAGGGCTGTGTTGTGTAGCTGTGTTCACCAGGGCTGTGTTCTGTAGCTGTGTTCACCAGGGCCGCTGTGTTCACCAGGGCTGTGTTGTGTAGCTGTGTTCACCAGGACCGCTGTGTTCTGTAGCTGTGTTCACCAGGGCTGTGTTCACCAGGACCGCTGTGTTGTGTAGCTGTGTTCACCAGGGCTGTGTTGTGTAGCTGTGTTCACCAGGACCACTGTGTTCACCAGCGCTGTGTTGTGTAGCTGTGTTCACCAGGGTTGTGTTCACCAGCACTGTGTTGTGTAGCTGTGTTGTGTAGCTGTGTTGTGTAGCTGTGTTGTGTAGCTGTGTTCACCAGGACCACTGTGTTCACCAGCACTGTGTTGTGTAGCTGTGTTGTGTAGCTGTGTTGTGTAGCTGTGTTCGCCAGGACCACTGTGTTCACCAGCACTGTGTTGTGTAGCTGTGTTGTGTAGCTGTGTTCACCAGGACCACTGTGTTCACCAGGGCTGTGTTCACCAGGACCGCTGTGTTCACCAGGACCGCTGTGTTGTGTAGCTGTGTTGTGTAGCTGTGTTGTGTAGCTGTGTGGTGTAGCTGTGTTGTGTAGCTGTGTTCACCAGGACCACTGTGTTCACCAGGGCTGTGTTCACCAGGACCGCTGTGTTGTGTAGCTGTGTTGTGTAGCTGTGTTGTGTAGCTGTGTGGTGTAGCTGTGTTGTGTAGCTGTGTTCACCAGGGTTGCTATGTTCACCAGGGCTGTGTTCACCAGGACCGCTATGTTCACCAGGGTTGCTGTGTTCTGTAGCTGTGTTCCAGACGACAAAGAGTGTTTGGTTCCCGGGCCCTGAAGACCAAGATGGCCGCTCGCCCAACCAGGGGAAATCAGGTGGGCGGGTGGGTGGATTGGTGGGTGGGTGGATTGGTGGGTGGATTGGTTGGTGGGTGGATTGGTGAGTGGGTGGGTGGGTCGGTGGGTGGGCGGGCGGGTGGGTGGGTGGGTGCGTCGGTGAGTGGGTGAGTCGGTGAATGGGTGGGTGGGTCGGTGGGTGGGTGGGTGAGTGAGTGGGTGAGTGGGTGGGTGGGTGGTTGCGTGAGCGGGTGGGTGGGTGTTGCATCTGCCAGTCATCTGAGTCAGTCCACCCATGGCACCTTGGTTTGTCCCGTGACCTCCTGCACGTAATCCATCTTGACCTTGTGATGGTCAGCACTTGCCCCTACGGTCTGCTGAGGCTATCTGGTGGAACTTTGCCTCTTGTGTTTTTGAGCAGCGTCGCTCTCGCAGTCTCGGAGTCGCAGTTCAGCTGCACTGACCTCCATGGACAGGAGCGGCACTGAGAGAGTGGGTGAGTGGGTGGGTGGGTGAATGGGTGGGTGGGTGAGTGAGTGGGTGGGTGAGTGGGTGAGTGGGTGGGTGAGTGGGTGAGTGGGTGGGTGGGTGAGTGAGTGGGTGGGTGGGTGAGTGGGTGGTTGGGTGGGTGAGTGGGTGGGTGGGTGAGTGAGTGGGTGGGTGGGTGAGTGGGTGGGTGGGTGGGTGAGTGGGTGGGTGGGTGAGTGAGTGAGTGGGTGGGTGGGTGAGTGAGTGAGTGGGTGGGTGGGTGAGTGAGTGGGTGGGTGGGTGAGTGAGTGAGTGAGCAAGTGAGCGAGCCTGCCCCTTCGTGTGGTAGTAGTGGTGGTGGTAGTGGTGGTGGTGTGGTAGTGGTGGGGTGGTAGTAGTAGTAGTGGAGGTGGTGTGGTAGTGGTGGTGTGGTAGTGGTGGTGTGGTAGTAGTAGTGGTGTGGTGGTGGTGTGGTAGTGGTGGTGGTGTGGTAGTAGTAGTAGTGGTGGTGGTGTGGTAGTGGTGTGGTAGTGGTGGTGTGGTAGTGGTGGTGGTGTAGTAGTAGTAGTGGTGGTGGTGTGGTAGTGATGGTGGTGGTGTGGTAGTGATGGTGGTGGTGTGGTAGTGATGGTGGTGGTGATGTCACCCCCTGTGTTGTCTTTGCAGGCCCCAGGGGCCGCAAGCGGCTGGTGCCGTTTATCCTGCGAAACGAGACGGGGTGCCCCCTTAGCTTCTACACTCGCACCACCACCGCCAACCGGTGAGCTGTGGTGGTAGTAGTGGTGGTAGTAGTGGTAGTAGTAGTGGTAGTAGATGTAGTAGTGGTAGTAGT